CACATTGTATATCTTGCTTAACTGTGATGAAGTTGAGCCGTATCTCAAGTAAGTATGCTTTAGCTTATTCATATATTTATTATTCATAACTTTATTTTAAACCCTAAAATTTATAGGAGGTTCTTTGATAGTTTAAGTACATTAAAATCAGGATAAGTCTAGAAGATAGTGGAGAAAAAATTCACTACTTGATTTAAAAATATGGTATATTTCTCAACTATTTATTTTAAATAATTTATCTTAATTAGTTAGCATATCATACAATAAATATACTAATAATATAATATGGTTCATTAAAAGGTTCACACTAAAGATAGTGATTCATAGTATAAATGGCTACTTAACCTAATTTGGGGACCAAATAGATTAGTTAAATATTATCAAATATTTTTAGTTAATGGTTATAAATTCCAAACAAAAAAATTAGTGTGAAGATAGGAAGACAGAAAATTCTAGTGTATGCGTAAGAGAGAACACTCATATAAAGGATGATTCTTATTACTACGGGGTATTATAAGAAATATTAGAGGTGAAATATCCCGGTCACAAGAATATTATGTATCTATTCAATTGTGAATGGTTTCATCCAATATAAAATAGAGGCATAAGAGTACATCCGATTTACGGTATAACAGAAGTAAAGTGGGGGTAGGATGTATGCAAAGTTTGACCCATTTATCATTGTTAATCAGGCAAGCCAAATCTATTATGCTAATTATCCAAGTATATTATGAGGCAAACAGGATTGACTTGTAGTTATGAAGACCAAATCAATGGGAGTAATTGAAAAACCCACTTCAATGCCATTAGCACATCAAGAAGAGTTTATGTAAAATTTAAAAAATCTTCATATCGATGTGGATGAACAAATTTTAATTAATGAGAGTGTGTTGTAGTTAGAAAAAGTAGATTTAAACATAATGAATGTCATGAAGAATCTGATAGTGGTGGAAATATATTATCATATAAAACTGAATCAATAAATGATGAGTTAACATAAGATAAAAAATATAAGACATTTTTATTTTATTATTGTTGAACTGTATTTATTTAATTATTGTATTATTTTATATTAAAATTTTATTATAATTTATGTTTCTAATATTTCTTATTTTTTCCATGCAGATGGCTTCAGGTGAAGAGCTTAATAGATGATTGATCAAAAATATTTTTGATAGGCACAGCAAGAAGATCACTAGTGGCCCATGTTGGCCTGTACATACTGAGGGACCACTTCATCTCAGCCTTCCACTCATAGTTAGTCTACCACACCTTTACCCACTCCTGGAGGAAGTAGTCTGCAGCTCTACTCACCAGACTCCTGATTTCCTTCACTAGACCCCCTCTTTCCTTCACCAGACGCCACGTAGAGTACCCCCTTCTACCCTTACTACCCACCCCCACCTTATGGTGGCCCTCCTCCTTATTCATATCCATCATATGTTCCACCATATTATCCTCTACCACCCCCTCAGCCCATTTTAGGTGACCTTCGACCACAACTGCAGTAGAGCAGGCGACAAATGGTCGAATATTTATTACACCTGATGATGACATATATGTATATATGATATTATTAACAACCAACTAAAATTGAATAAATATTTTTCTTATCTAACATATTTTTGTAGGTTCCCCATCAAAATAACTGACACATAAAATATGAAATATAATACGGAGCAAGTATGATGCTCCTTATATTTCTTGGAAGAAAGTTCCGAATGAAGTTTGGGATATGTGATTTAGAAAGTTTGAATTATTTTTGTTTAATATTTTTTGTTGTGTCTAAATAAATTGTATATTCGTTTTTACTTAAGTTAACACAAATTTATATTTTATATTATATGTTTTTAAATACAGACAGATTTTTGTTGGTTGCCCCAACATAATGATAAAATTAGAAAGAATTTTGAAAAATGTGGATCCAATTGAATGCGTAACATATTTACAGACATTAAAAAGTCTGGCGAGCGGCCACTATGGATTAGAGAGACTGTGGGCTGAGCTGAACACTGTTTAGGGCAGCGTAGAGTATAGCAGAAGAAGGGATCAAAATTGATAGAACAGAGCTTCTGATGTTGGGGGCATGGACAGTTCCCTTCATACTGGGGGCTCAGTTCTATATACTGAGCACATGCAACATTTGGTAAGGAATTTTAAATGTTTTTAAAAATTTTCTTTAATAGGAATATTAATGTAATTCTATTATAGAAAGAGATATTAGGTAGAGAACCAACTCCTGTGGAATAGTATAGTTATAGCCACAAGTGACAGGAGAATCAATAATGGGTTGATAAGCGAGCAAGAAAAGCTCATATAAGTATATGTGTTTAATATGTTTTTATTTATATCTAAGTAATTACTTAAATTTTTATCAACTTTCATAGGAGTATATATAGCTTCGAGAGAGTCAGGCTGCAGTAGGTGAGGGTCCTTCTGACGGCTCTGTGGAGTATTATGAGTACCGCATCTGGTCGTAAGCGGTAGGAGGAATGCAAGATGGCAGGGTTTTTGGTTTAGGTTCGCAAGCCCAGGTATACAAGGGGATGACCTCTAGTGGATACAACTTTGTAGCAAGTTCATAGGAGTCCTTACATAGTCAACATATAATTGTCATTCAAATGGAACTAGAATAAGTAAGGAAATCACAACCTGATTGGCAAGTGCAGTTGCAAATATATATACATATACAGATGCAGACACAACACAATCAGTTGTTTGATGAAATGCAAAAAATAGGGAGTAGTTGAGTGGAAAGGAGGTTAGATCCAGCGGAGAATGAGTCAATGGATTCAAAGCAGTTATTTAGTTTTTTCAGTATAAACTTTTTCAGTTTCTGAGTATTTGATGAAGTTTAGGTATATTTGTTGATGTTAATGAATAATTTGTGATATTTTTTAATATTTTATAATATTTTTGAATATTTGGTGATGTTTATGATTATGAGTAATTGTTTTTAAATATTTGATAATTTTTGAATATTTGATGAAGTTATGAAAATTTGTGTGTTGTGGAAATCTGTGTTGTTGATATTTATTTAATATTGTAACTTGCAGGTGTGGAAATCTGATTGCTATCTAGAAAGGTTATTTTTTTATTTTTGTTATAGGTTTTCGACGGATAAAATGCCAATAATCCGTCAGAAATGACAATACAACAAATTCTGTATCGATTTCCTAGCATATTTAAACGCCGGCCTTCCCGGCGGATAATACGCTAGAAATTTCGCATAAGTGAAGAGGAAGCAACGTAACTACCATATACTTTTTCGCCGGTTGTGCATCGGAATGTATGCCGGAAAGGTTTTCGGCGTATTATATACGTCGAAAATTTTTTACCGACACGCAAATTACCGTCGCATGGAAATCTGACTGAAATGCAACGAAATCATAATTTTGCTATCGAAATTTTAATTTTACCGGCGTATTTTATCTGCCAGTAATAGTGGGTTTTCCTATAGTGGCTGCTTTTTATTTTACTTGTGGATTGGCCTTGCTGTTGTATCTTTCTTTTTTGGCCCGTGCTAAGATGAGGGGCTTTCTACTCACCCCTGGACGGCCTTGGCTTGCTGGAAATCATTGGTGGTGCTTCCTCTTGTTCTGATTGGTGGTCTTTGTTGGGGATGTGGTATGATGCTTGTTCCTTTTGCACTTTCTTATGTGTGGACTATTGTTTGCTTCCTCTTCTAAATGGTCCTTGATTGGCTTCGAGGTGGTTGCATAAAGCATTTTGCTAATTATTGAGCTTAGTTGTCTTCTTCGTCATCTTCACTATTTGTTTTCTCTACTTTGTTGATTATGCCTTGTAATTTTTACAATATTCTTTTTTGGGCTTGCTTGTATCCTCTTTTATATTATGAAATAAAATTATGTTGTTAAAAAAAAGAAAGAAAATTCCACTTTGGCTGATAGCAAAGAAAAAAAGGAAAAATTAAAAAAACAATGTATGGATATTGTTTCCTTTATTATTTGTGGCAGTTTTAACAGCTTGTTTATGTTATTCTTTGGTTGGCTAGGTTGTTTGGGGCTTCTCTCCTTTCTCTTGTTGGATGTATGCATTATTGATTGGTCTCTCCATTTGATTGCTTTGGATTAGCTTTGGGCCTTCTTTGCTTTGAAGTTACTAGTGGCTTGTAAGTGGTCTTCGGTTTTTGTAACTCTTTATTTTTATAAGTTCGTATGTTGGTGCCTGTATGAGCTTTATTGTTGATCGAGATAGGGCTTGTTTTGGGTGGAGGTTTCCTTCCTCTCCTTTGTTTTCTATATTTTTTATATTGTATCGTGGTTGGGAAATTTGGCTCGTTATGTTTCTTTTTGCTTTTTTATTATAGTTTTTTTAGCATTATTGGCTTTTGATCCTTTTAAGGACTAGTACATAATTTTCGTATTAACATGTAGGGCCATTAATGAGTATTAACCAAAAAAAGATGATGAATGGATGATTGAGACTACCTTGGTTGGTGATTGATGTGTGGTGTGGATGAATTCTCAATAGGTAAATATAACAATCTCCTTAAAATTTATTTATCAAGTTAAGCAAAGATTTTAAAGAGTGTTCGCTGTGAGAATTTGAGAGTTTTGTTTTGGAAGGAGTTGTATCATGTTAAGCAAAGCTTTAAAGAGAATTTAGTATGAGAATTTGAGAATTATATTTCACAAGGAATTCAAAGTTTGCGTCCATTGAAATTTGATTTTGTGCGATAAATTTCCAATGATAACTAGCCAAGTAATTTGTCATCAGTAATATTAAATTTGAATTTCAATATGAATTTTTTATAGATTTCTGTCCAAAGTCAAAAAAAGAAAAAATGAAAAAAATTGCAATCGATTTAAATTCCGTATAATAACTAATTAATTTACCTTCAATATCAAATGCATAATGGATTTCTGCCGAAGAAAATCCTAGAATTTATCGGAATGGCTTATAGCAACCCAAGGATTTTGTCAACTATTAAATCATAACCTCAAACCCAAGTTGGAAATGGCGTAGGGATCACTTACCCTATATGCAATGTGGGTTCGCACTCCAAGGGGTGGTAGAAGGCATCACCATGAGGCTGAGCCGACTGCCGATCGTACCCCATAGCATGAGCAGTGCTGGGATCCCAGACGTGCTGTGAGGATGCCTGGTTACTCTCTTCCAACTGCTCACATGACCAAATATAAAATTTACGATTTTTACAGTAAAAGAAGCGAGTTTGAACAGAAGCGAGCACTTAAATTGTAATTACCCTCCTTTTCAGCGTTTTATTAGCCTCGCAGAGCATTTGCTCCTGTTATAATGAAAGAAAATTACATAGTTGTCTTGCATAAAAATAACATGTACTAGGTTAAGATGGTAAATAGACGTGGAAACTGTTTACAGTACTTAAGCAGTACCCTTCGCTGTAGGTCAGCAAGCTGATCGAGCATGAACTGCGTCTGAATGAATATAGATGTTTCTTAATATCAGCATTTAAGATGTTCTGTGGTTAGAATTAAATTTCTTCAAAGATATTTCTAGCTCCTAGCCTAGGATGGAAAAAGTTTGTACCCGTGTTGATCTTATCTGCTTAAGTGAAGCGTCCAGCTGCCGTTCCAGCTGTTCGAGTTCCTTGCTGCTGAGGGGACCAAGGTCCTCGCCCAGGAGATTCCTATAGAATTACAAATAAATGAATATGTAAGTGGAGCTTTGACAAAAAAGAAAATAATATATAAGAGAAGCGCATTGTAATTTCTCTCGTATGAGAAATTGTTAAGAGAAGAGCTCGAAATGAATACAAAGGGGATCACCTCTGGGATCTTTGTAAGGCTTCAACCCGAGCTTTGAGTTTCAAGTACTCCTGCTGACTACTCTGCGTTTGAGCGAAAATGATATCAGTTAAAATTGATGTTGATAACTAACAGTAAGTTTGTTTGAGGCGGTTGTAACTGTCTTTAATAACTTTATAAATTTAATATGGACTTTTTTTTTTAATCCGATATGAATGCAATCGACCTTTTTTTTTCTTTTTCGGATGGCCGTTTAGTACAACTATCACACTAATAACTTTGAATTCAGTTACTTTTTTTAATCGAGCATTTTATCTTTCCTGATAAGTTAGATTTTACTGATACTTGTTTGGATTTTTCTATGAAATTTGCCAATTGCTCAAATAAAATTAGAATTTAATTTTTGGATGGATTCTGCCACGGTTAATATTATTTTTGATTGTCCTCAAGTAGTTCACGCTCAAATTAGCTTTTTTAATATCAATTGTAATACTTCTTTTGTGTATGCTGCCTACTCTAGGACGAGTCGCATGCCTCTTTGTGAGGATTTATCTAACTTGGCTCTTACTTCTAATGGCCCTTGACGTGTGGGTGGAGACTTTAATATTATTTCTAAAGCTTCTGAAAGAATTGGGGGGAATCCCCCTAGTCAACATGCTATGGATGATTTTAATTTTATGATTTCTTATTGTAATTTGCATGACATTGATTTTTCGGGTAGCAATTTTACATGGAATTGAGCCACTATGTGGCAAAGATTGGACAGGATTCTTTTTAACTAATTGGATTGCTAATTTTTTAATGACTCATGTGAAACATTTTAGTAGAACTAATTCTGATCATTCATCTTTACTTTTAAGTATCAATGTTACTACTCTCTTGTCACTTCTGTTTTCATATTTCAAAACATGTGGTTATTAGATAAGAGTTTTATGGTATGATTCATAACAATTGGCATGCTCCTACCTTCCTGATAATAACAATAAGGGAATGAATAGGTTATGGTCTAAATTAAGCAGGTTGAAATGGAAGCTGAGATGGTGGAACAATTGTTTTTAAAAACATTTTTATTAACATATAGAAAGATGAAAATAAAATTATTGACATGGATAAAATTTTTATAGAGTTGACTAGTGACAACCTCATTACTCTCAATAATGTTAAAATGAATATGTTTCACTTACAGGCTCATGGAGATTTTTTTGGAGGCAAAAAGCTGCTTACAAGATTAGTGGCGGAGCCATAAAATCTTTTCAGCGGGGGCATAAATTTATTTTGACAATTTTTTTCTCAATTTTTTTCATCAAAATTTGGATTAGCAATAGCAATTTTAAAGGAAAAAAGAATAAATTATAGTTGTAATTAATTTATCTTGTGTGGAATAGTATTAGAATCACCTATGAAAAATTTTTGATTTTTTCTTCTTTTTGGCATAACAACATCCCTTTATCTTATTTTATTCTTGTTTGGTCTTATCTGAATGGTTTTTTTCCTATTGATGAATTCTTAATGATAAAAGGTTTTTATGGGCCCTCCAAATGTCATTGTTGCTCTATTAATGAAAAAGTCAATTATAATTTTGTTAATGGGGCTATTGCCCAAAAAGTTTGGAATTATTTTTTTTGATTTGGCTAACAAGGATAACTTTAATAGTAATAGTAATGTTTTAACTATACTTTAGTATTGGTGCGCTCCCATCAAAGGCCATATCTTCAATCTTTTGTCTATTCTTATTTTGTTGTTCCTTTGGATGGGTAGAAATGACTCTAAGCACAACAACATTAAAATGGAGGCCAGTTGCATTATTGCCAAAGTTAGAGATAAAATCTCACAGTTATATGCTGGTAATCTTATTACAACCTCTAACTTTAATAATTGTTCGTTTATTGATATTGGTCTGGGTATTTATAACATGTGAAATGCTTCTGAGAGGTTGGACTTCATTGTGAGGTGGGTTAAAACTTTAATTCCTTATTGCAAATTAAATTTTGATGGGACTGTTGTTGCTGGTTATACTGGCGTTGGTGGCATCATTAGGAACCACTTAGGTAATGTTATTGTTACTTTTGATGGCCCCTTAAATTTATGTAATATTTTTACTACTAAAGGTATTGGAGGTGATAAAATATCCAAAAACAGAGATTTTGTTAGCCCGTCTCAGGATAAATTTCAGAACAACGACAAATTTGAAGCCTTAAAAGAACTATCAGTGGGAAAGGAGGTTAATGAAGATTTGATTATTCCAGAAAAATAGAATTTCAGCAGGGTTAATACTATAGAAGAAAATCAAAACTTGGTGCTTCTATCAAATAATGTTCTCAAAAATCTGGGAGATAATTCGAACACTGCTAAGAAGAAAGGTTTGAAACAATTAAAAGGATTGGGACCTGTAAAACTATTGACAAGAAACAGAAGAATTGAAGGCATTGAGAAGGAGAAAGGGGGGAGTCACTCCCCACTTATCCATAAATGAATTCCTTAGTGTTTTGGAATTGTAGAGGAGCCAAGAAAAAAAAGGCTTCTCTATATCTTAAGGAGATTGTTAAAGAACATAAAGCTATTTTTGTTGGGCTTTTGGAAACTAAATTGTTTTTTATTGACAGTAAGGAAGTGAATACTTTAATTGGCACTGGTTGGGATTTCAATTATGTTCCATCAGCTGGTCTTTCAGAAGGGATATTGGTAATGTGGAAGAGCAGGATGGCCTCTTTTAAAGTGATTGATTCATCTTCACAATTTATTATTGGTGATCTGGATATTCCTCTTATTGGTAAGTGGAGGATTGCTACTTCTTATGGCAGCAAAGAAGTACACAAAAGAAGAGATCTCTGGATTGGTTTGTATCCTCACATTTCTATTGATTTTCCTTTAATCATAGGTGGGGATTTTAACTGTTTGCTTGCTAAAGAAGAGAAGAAAGGAGATAGAAGATTTATAATGTCTTCGAGACCTAAAGATATGAAATCTTTTTTGATTTCTAATAATCTGTATGAACTTAAATTCATGGGTCCTATGTTTACTTGGAGTAACAATAAGAAAGGGCTGGAATGGATTATGGAAAGACTGGATAGGATGATTGTTAATTCTTATTCTGTCAATATTAATCAACTTCTAGTGGTTAAGCATCTTCCTAGAATCGCATCTGATCACTGCCCTATTCTTTTGAATCTTAATAGTTCATCTCCTAAAATCAGCAAATCTTTCAAGTTTGAGAATATATGGGCTTCTTATCCGGCATCATTTTCAATTGTGCAAAATGTTTGGAACAGAAAAGCTGTTGGCTCTCCTTCAAATATCCTTAATACTAAAATGAGAAGAACTATGAAGTCTTTATACTTTTGGAGTAGGTCTAAGCACCAAAATTTGGAACAATTGAAGGAAAATCTTAAAAAAGAGATTCGACAACTTCAAGAGAAGGAAGCTAGGAATGGATTGTTTTCTTCTGAGCAAATCTGTTTGCTGAAATTCAAAATTGGAGAATTAAACTCTACTTTGGCTCGGTTAAGTACCTGGTGGAAACAACAGGCAAAAGTAAAGTGGATTAATGAAGGTGACCAAAACTCTAAATTCTTTCACTCTTTTGCTAGTGCTAGGAGAAATGTCAATTTCATTGCTAGCATTAAAGATGAGTTGGGAATTTTGGTAGATAAGAAAAATGAGATAGAAGAAGTTCAGATTCAGTATTTCAGAAACAAATGGTCTGATAAAAATTGTATTCTCACTGATTGGACAAAGAATAGTAAGTGTCTGGATAATGAAGATATATTGATACTTAGCAAAGATTTTTCAATAGATGAAGTGGAAGAAGCTCTTAAAGGAACTTCAGATTGCACAGCTCCTGGAGAAGATGGTGTTTCTTATTCTTTTTTTAAGAATTACTGGCCCATAATTAAAGCAGATTAATGGAAAGCTATCCAAATATTCCTACTGACAGCTGATATGAATAAGAATTGGAAAAAAGCACAAATTGTGTTGATTCCCAAAATCAATAATCCAACTTATGCAGCTCATTACAGACCGATTAGTTTGTGTAATACGGTATACAAATTAATTGCTAAAATTCTTCTTAACAGGATCAACTTTTTGATATCGAAGCTGATATCTCTGGAGCAAGAGGCATTTATCAAAGGAAGGATGCTTCATGATCATATTCTTATTGCCCAAGAGGTATTTCATAAATTCAGACACTCTAAAGCTTCTAAGGGATTGGTTTCTATCAAGTTAGACATGGAACAAGCCTATGATTCCATAGGATGGCCGACTCTTTGCAAAGTGTTGGATTATTTTGGTTTTCCTATATCTTTTTTCAAATTGATTATGGGTTGTGTGTTGAACCCTTCTTATGCTATTTTAATTAACGGAAAGCATTCTAACTGGATTGAAGCTAGTAGTGGGTTTAGACAAGGATGCCCCCTTTCTCCATATCTTTTTATTCTATGCTCACAGTTACTTTCAAATGCTATTTTGGAGAAGGAAAATATTGGTGTGCGGATTAGCAGCAATAGTCCTAGAATTTCTCATCTTCTATACGCTAATGATGTAATGGTATTTGCTGAAGCTAAAATCACTAATGTAAAGGTGATTAAAGAAATCATTAAGAAGTATATATTGTAACTGGACCGGACAGAAAGTCAATACAGCTAAATTTGGGATGCTCTTTGGTAAAGCTGTCAACACAAGATTAAGAGGAAGATCAAAAATATATTGGGCTATAAAGAGGTGAAAGAATTTTGTTATCTGGGCTCTAAATTAGTTTTGAGAAGACCATCCAGATCTGATTATCAATTTATTATTGATAATGTTATGAAAAAGTTGAACAGTTGGGGTTCAAAATTTTTATCCATGGCCGGTAAAATAACCTTGGTTAAAACGGATATTCTATCCATTCCTTCTTTTTATACTACTATTTCTATAATTCCAAAATCAATACTTGAAGAGATTGAGAAATTATGCCGTAATTTCATTTGGAATAAAGATAACAATGGCCAAGGATTACATTATATTAACTGGAATAAAATCTGTGAACTAGTTGGTAACGGAGGTAGGGGGTTACATTCTTGCATCAACAAAGTAGGTCCTCTTA